GATGGTGGTAAGAACATGGGTAAGCAGACAATTACAGCAATTACACTCCAACAATTGATTTTGATACTGCCCAATTTCCTCCAACAACTGATTTTTGATACTGCCTAATCACCCGATTTCATTTCACGTCTAATTGGAATCTACTATGAAAAAGCGGTTGTGGAGGTGAAGGATAATGGGGCATGTGTGGGTAGGATACCGTAGAGGGAAGGGTGGAAACCTTTGCAATTGTTTAGATCCAACTGGGAAGCAACTGGAGATTGCCCTGCGTCTGTGTTTGGAGGTAGAGGAATAGAGGAAGGTGGGGCAGAGAAGAGGAAGAGGCGGGAGGACCAGTCACATGGGGCCGTTACCAGAGAACGCTTGCTGTGAGCTTTGCCTGGGACAGGGACATCGGAAGGGAAAATAGGCGGCGATGGTGAATGGTTGACTGGAGAGACTGAAATTGTGGCGGCCATGGGCTTGACGGCGGCATGTATAGGAATGAAGTGGAGGTTGTGGGTTGAGGGGGTTGGGGGAAGAAGGAGATGGGGGTGGAGTGGCATAGGGGGGTTGTAGTTTTGTTTTTTGTTTTTTTAATTTTTGATTTAATAAAGGAAATGTATTATGTCAAAAATGTTCTTAGCTTATTTAGAGAAAATTATTAGATTTTTAATTTCTGGGTCAATTGACGATTTTTGGAATCAAACTAACAGAAACCATTATTTTGGACTCCGGGTGCAAATTGTTTAAAGGTTTGTTACCGTTGGTGGTACAAAACAAAGGTTTGAGCAAAGTCTGTAAAAATGTGAAAGATTTGATACCGTGACGGCAATTTTTCCTATTTTATATGAAGCCCAAACAAGGGCGAAGCGAATATGGCCAATTATAAATTTAGGAAATATTTGCAGCACAGGTACCAAACCTTTTTAACGTGTGCCATCAGGTCCCAAACCTTCGAATCTTAACACCTGCGTCTCAAGCCTTTTGTAGATGTACGTTCGAAGGATTTCTAGTCAGTTTTAACCCTAAATTGACCAAAGTTTTATCAATTATAATTACCACCAACACACCAAGCCATTGCAATTGTCACCAGCAAGGGGATTTCTCACCCGCTCCTTCCAAACCCACATGTTTGAAGAGTAAATTTTGGTTAGCTGATGGTCTTTTGGAAGAAATCATCCGAATATTTTTTGGGCACACATTTATTAAAACATTTGGGATGTATGTTGTATTATTAGAAAGTTTAAGACCACG